TGAGGGAAGGACATTATAACCCCCTTGATTATCACTATAAAACAATTCTACCCCAAACTTTCAAACATCTAAATATTCATCTAACCTTTAGAATGAGATGTTACATGAAGAAAAAGAAAATGGCAGTTTGCTAGCACTTTATGTTCCGGTCAGAAAACCCTAAAATGGTATCAGAGCCATTTAACACACTTATGACCCTTTAGAATGGTGTTATAATTGTGATTAGGAGATGGTTAAGGGATTTCCGAAATTCCACAATCCAATGGGGACGTGGTGAAGGTCATACTAGACACCTCGTTACGTTCGATTTTGTGGTCATTCACTTTATGATCATAAATATATGTTTATTTATTATGATTTTGTTGATGTATGTTTGAATGATATTTTATGGACTTGGTATAGCCTAACACTGATGGTTGTTTACTTGTTTTGATAAATTAAAATGTATTTTAATGATGGTTTGTAATTTTAATTATTGCGACTTGCATGTCATTTTCCGGTTCTTTGTAAATTGTAATATACCCTAGCTTTTTTTTTTAATTATATTTTAATCGGAAGCATGAATCAAAGAGAAGAAAGAGACGAGCATCAAAATCTAGAGACATAATCTTGGAGTTCACCATGCTTGGTGAAGCTAGTGGGAGCTCCAAGATGCCCCTAGTTTTGTCTGTGGTTTCCATGTTGGCTCATGGCACCACGTTAGGATGGCTATGCCATGTGTTTTTTTATATGCGTGGTTGGTTATTTATGTTTTGATTATTTATGCGTTGATTATTTTATATGATTGGGTTTTATTATTGCTATGATATCACGAAACGTTCTTGAAAATTAAGCAAACGCAAGAATTTTAATCGGTTAATAATAAATAAGTTATTTATTTAAAATTGATAAGTTATCAAACTTAACCGATTTTGAGAGATGAATTTTAAGAAAACGTTTTAAAAGAATGATTTTACGATTTTGAAAATCAAACATTTTATGAAACATTATTTTAGAAGAATTCTAAACAAATGTTTTATCAAACGTTTCGATGCATAGGGTATGATTACCTCTTTCAAAACTATGTTTGAGAAGTAAGGAACGCGGGAGAGATTTGACATTGTTAGAACATTGGTTTCTTGCAAGATGTCTGACAGGTCACCAGCCAGCCCCCATGTTTTGAAAATGAAGGGATATGTTGACCGATTGGGGCGTCTTGTATTTTCACTTGGACAAGAACTAGCAGTTAATTTTGTACAAAATTATTTGCCCAAGTTATATGACCAATTTGTAATGTGATTACAACATGAATGGTTTAGATAAATCTCTCATTGAGTTGCATGGTATGCTTCAAACGGCATAGAGAAGTACTGACTCCAAGTAGGAGCAGTCCAAACCCAAATAGATCAATATGGTAAGGGTGAAGGGTGGAAATTCTAAGAAGAAGAAGCATGATGGTAAGGGACAAGATGTCAATGGAAAGGTAAAAGTTGCAAGTTCCACCGATGCAAAGGGCAAAGGAAAGATCCCCAAAGATGCAATTTGCTTCAACTACAATGAAAAGGGGAATTAGAAAAGAAACCACCCCGCCCTGCTGGCAAAGAACAAGAAGCTAAAGGCTAATAAGGCTGAAGGCTCAGGTATGTTTATCATTGATTTGTCTACTTATAGTTATGACTCTTGAGTATTGCATACTGATGTGGTACTTACATTTGTATTGCTTTACAGGGTCTAAGAAGTGAAGAGCGGTTGAATAAGGCCAATTGGAGCTGAGGATGGGCAATGGAGCTAAGGTAGCATTTGTTGCTCGGGGGACATATGATATTGTAACACCCCATTTCACATTTGCATATAACCTACGTATTTCATATAATATGAAATTCAAATATAAACATTGGTTCCAAACGTACAACTTGTTACATTAAAAAGTAGCTACAAATTTTTTCCATATACATCAAGTACAAGACTTGTAACTTAACAAGTTTTCAAGTACAATTAACATAACATCTTCCAAAATCCACATATGTAAGCAATCATAAATTTTTCACAATTTCCCTTTTCCCTTATCCTCCGATTGGTGGCTGACCTGTAATGCATATTTTAAAACACAAAATGAAGGTTAGACCATGAGGTCTAGTGAGAAATACCTTTTGATTGTTGAGATGTGGAATTGTTAGAGGAAATGTTTTCAAAAAATGATGAATACTCAGACCCTATGGGTCCCATTACGTCGAGTACGCCTCGTGACAACTCAACTACTCTAGGTGAGGTAGCAGAAGTGCAACGAAGTACGAGAGCTAGAAAAGAAAAGAAAGGAACTTCGGAGATGATTTCCTATGTTATCTAGTTGAAGGGTCACACAAGAAAGTGATGGGATAGGCCATTTTCCAAATCAATGTTAGTGATGACCTAAGACGCATCGTGAGACCATGTTGTCTAGAGAGGCTTCGCTTGAAAAGGAAGCTATTAATGACGAGATCGATTCAATTATGGGTAATGGCACTTGGAAACTTGTTGATTTACCCAAGGGTATGAAACTTATAGGATCCAAATGGGTATTTAGAAGGAAATAAAATCCAGATTGATCCATTTATGCGTTTAAAGCAAGACTGGTTGCTATAGGATACAAACAGAAAGAGGATATCAATTATTTCGATACTTATGCTCATGTAGCTAGAATTTATTCTATAATAATTCTTCTAGCGTTATCAACCATGAAAGGTATGTACATTCATCATATGGATGTGAAGACAACCTTTCTTACGCTTACTTAAACAAGGAGTTTTATATGAAGCAACCTGAAGGGTTTGTTATGCCGAGACAAAAGCATAAAGTGTATAGACCTATTAAATCTTTGTATGGTTTAAAACAAGCTCCTAAATAATGGTATAAACTTTTTGATTCTACAATCATTTTGTGCAATTTTCAGTATAATGATCGTGATAGATGTATTTATATTTTATACAAAATGCACTAAGGATTACACTGTTATAATATGTCTATACGTGGATGATATGTAGATCATCGGAACATTTATGCAAGGTATCCTTGAAACAAAGAACTACTTATCCTCGAACTTTAAGATGAAAGACCTTGCAAAAGTATATATGATTCTTGGAATCAAGATGAACAGAACGAAGGGTCAAATTTCTCTATGCCAATCTAATTATATAGAGAAAATTTTGACTAAATTCCAACACTTGAACATAAGAGTTTAATACCCCTTTTGATCCGCATGTGAAGCTTGAGAAAAACTTTGGTCGAGCAGTGGCTCAGCTAGAGTATGCCGGTGTTAGTGGTTGCATGATGTAGAAAATACACTATACTCATCCAGATATAGCTTTTATTGTGAGGAAACTAAGTCAATACCTAAGTAACCCTAGTTCTGAACAATGGAAGGTGTTAAGTAGAGTATTTGAATATTTGAAAATTATAGTGATTTAGAACTAACTTATTTAGAGTATCCTATAGTGCTGGAAGAACATTTTGATGCTAGCTGGATAGATCGGATAGATCACATAGATCACATAGGTGACTCTAAATCCACGAGTGGGTAGATTTATACGATAGTTGGTGAGGCAATTTCTTAGGGGGTCAAGAAACAAACTTGTATTGTTCGCTCAATAAGAGATTTAGTTAGCAAAGCTACGAGACATGAGACTGAAACCACGTAGAATCGGTTAGTGATGGAAACTCGAATCGGATTTAATGCTCCTATCTATTGAGTTTACTGGGTAATAACGAAGTCATTAACTGTAACACCCTAAAAAAATGTTAAAATAAACCGAAAATATTTAACGAGAACCCGGATTCTGGAATTGAAATTCACCCAACAAAGGGAAATAGTAAAGCGTTTACAATTCCGCTACAGAGAATATAAATAACAACCTACTAATCTAGATTTTTCTATATCTAGAGACGGGTATTTCTATTAATCTCCAAATAGTCGTAACGTCAAAAACGCAACGTTCAAAAGTAAAAAGGCTTTAATTACAAAAGAGCCTTTCACGAACCAACGCTCCTTTCAACCCTTTAGAGCCCCACCGCTAAAGGAACCTAAAAAGTAATAATAACAAGAAAGGGAGAGGGTTAGGCTTACGCCTAGTGAGTCCAAACAAAAGAGTTTACGTAAACATAAAGGAACATATATAAAAATATACATGTAAATAGTTGACGTAACTTTAAACAGGAAATGGAGACAGTAAGACCTGAATAACTCGAAGTGGAACAATAAAACATCCGAAGATGACGGAGGAGACCCGATTTACTGTTGATTACGACAGACACAAAGTAAGTCATAGATCAACGTTATAGAGTATCAGGTTTAATACCATTGACATCAACCTAAACCAGTCATGTAGTCGGCCATGATCTTAAGCTCTTTACCTCGGTAATTACACAATAATCRCAATGCCTATTACCGAGTGAAAGTGAGAGGATGATTTGGTAATTACATAATAATCACAATGCATATCACCAACTTACACCATCATTCCCACAAATAAAATAAAACGATATATATGCACTATATAAATATAAAATAATGACATAGTATCGCACGATATTTATATATATAGAAAATGAGTCATAAATAATACGTGGGAGTGTCAAGACATCCAAAGATGACGGGGGAGAYYCGATTTACCGTTAATTATGACGGAACCCAAAATAAGTTATAGATTAACGTTATAGAGCATCATTTACAAGTATAATACCATCGACATCAACCTAAATCAGTCATGTAGTCGACCGTGATCTTAAGCTATTTACCTCGGTAATTACACAATAATCGCAATGTCTATTACCGAGTGAAAGTAAGAGGATGATTTGGTGATTACATAATAATCACAATGTCTATTTCCAATATACACCAACCTTCACACAAATATAATAAACGACTTCCATACCCCTATCCCATTACCTCTTAGTGACATGTTCAAAGGCGATATCATAAGCATAATGGCATTTATTCAACAATAAGACTTTACATGAGTCCTTAATCAAATGAAATACATTCTTTTACTAGAAAAGGATTCCATATGTAAATCATAACGGGTTTTCTTCATTTAGATTTTATAACCAAAAAAATACTTGAGAATATGTATTCTATTTATTGACCAAAACCCCCTTTTCCACTCATCCTAGCATAATTAATGGAATTCCCAAAATTCATTCACTTTTGATCTAAAACGTCCATTTCATCTAAGCAAGTAATTTCTATAGAAACTAGAGCATAAAAATAAGTAAGACACATCGTCACAATTTGTATAAATTTCCACAAATAGGAATAGGATGAACTCACCTTGGGGAATTTAGGAGAAATCCCAAGTCTTTGAATCTAGGATAGATGGAAATGCACCCAAAATAATCGAAGGATTACAAAGGGTAGGACAGCCGTGACTGCGGCTGTCTAGATGCGAAAAGAAACACAGCAGGGGGGTCTGCTGTTTGGCGATGCAGACGAAGGAACAGCCTAACAGCAGCTGTGGCTAGCGAAACACAGCAGCTACACGCTGCGAGAAAAGGCACAGCAGTGCCTGGTTGCTGTCTGGTGCGGCACAGCAGCGACTGCTGCTGCTGTCCGGTGCAGTCCGAGGCGCGGAGAGGTCGAGGGCGACGCTGGCAGTTGTTGATGCTGGTCTGAAAACGCAGTCGTAGACAGCTTTTTTGCTGCTGTCGAGAGGTCCGATAAACGCCAAAACGCAGGCAGCCTTGCTGCTGTTGCTGTTAGATGCTGTTGGAACGAAAAACAAAGGCAGCAGGCGCTGCTGTTGGTGTTCGATGTTGTCGAGACGAAGAACAAAGGCAGCAGGCGCTGCTGTTGGTGTTCGATGCTGTCGGGACGAAGAACAAAGGCAGCATGCGCTGCTGTTGGTGAAGCTCAGTAGATCGATGCGAGAAACGGCAGGTGCATTCGGTTGAAGGCTGAAAGTAGCGGTGGCCGGCGTTGATGAGGTCAAATCCGGGTGTTGCCGGTGCTTCCAAAGAGTCAAAATCAGATGAAGTTTACTACTTCTCTCAATCCTTCTCCTAAAGCAGCTCTTGTCCTCTTCACTAACTTCCCTCCTAATTCATTATAAGACACAAACTAAAGACTCAAAGGTAAGAGGACTAACCCCCTCCCCCTTATTCAAAGTATGGAGAGTCTACTAGGTAGGGCAAGGGATGACAGCCGAGCTACCCCCCTCCCCCTTTTTCTTTTCATTAAAATAATCCTTTTTTCTTTATTTACTAAAGGAAGACCAAAGTGTATAAATAAAGAGTTTCTTTGAATTTCTAGGTGTTACATAAAAAGGTACTAAAATCCTAATATATAAAGCACACATATATAATACATATAAATATAAATAGAGACGTATATCTTGCAAACGGGGCGGGAGAATTCTCGACGGAAAAGAAATGGAGAATGAGGGCAAAGAAGAAATTCCAAGGTGTTACATTAACTGATAGAAGGTGCTATCATTTTGTGGTTCCATGTTATGTAGTTGATAATACGGCGTTGCCGAGAAAAGATTGAGTTTTGAACTCTTAACGAAGTTTAGAGGCATCTTAGCAACAAAGATTTTATAGAACTTCCCCTATGTGATTCCAAGGTAGTGCCGCCTCAAAGGATAGTATGTGGTAGGGGTGGCAATGGGTCAGGTTGGGTTGGGTTCATGTTCAACCTATTTATTAAATAGGTTGAAAATCTCAACCCAACCCAACCCATTTAATTAAATGGATTGAGATTTTTCAATCCAACCCAACATGTTACTTAAATGGGTTGACAACGGGTTGACATGTTTACAATTTTCTTGACCCAACCTGTTAAATAAATGGGTTGAATATGGATTGACCCATTTAATTTTAAAATTTTAAATAAAAAAAGAACTAGACTATTTAACTTTTTTGAATAAAACATAAGACAACCACAAATACAACCAAATTGTTCAAAGTTTGAATAAAACACAATCACAACAAATATATTGTTCAAAATAAGTTGGAAAATTTTAAATTCTAAGTAACTCGACTTCCACTTTCATCAACTCCAATTTCACTCTCGGCATTACTTTCTTCTTAATCTTCTATCTTATCTGTCATGATTGCTCCACATAACGCCTCAAGATACGATTCCATTTGTACTACGTAAATGAATTATATTACAAGTTGGGAACTGTTTGATTCTATCAACAAAACACAAGCGGAAGTCGGAAGATCCTTTATTTTAGCTCCACAATGGTGAATGACTCTGCTATTGCTCAAGCCTCAAGGCTCAAACTCAAATCGAAAACTGAAACCAACCGAAATCTTTGATTGGAGAAGGTAGAACTCAAAAGAAGGGGCGAAGATTGATAACATCAACTGAAGAAGATGAAGAATTGAAGACGCGAGATTCTTGATACTGAATTACTGATATTGTATGAAGGATTGAAAATCGAAGCGTCGTTTAACTCGTGAGTTGTAATACTGAAACTTGGGCAAATTTATTTAAGAAGAAACAAAATAAAAAATAAAAAATTAATATAATAGATATAATATTAAGAATAAAATAAATTTATATAATATTTTAAGTGAGTTGAAAACGAGTTTAAAACATGTCAAAAAATTCAACCCAACCCATTTATTTAAATAGGTTAGATGGGTTGACCTATTTATTTAAATGTGTTGAAAATCTCAACCCAATCTGTTAATTCTGGGTTGGGTCATTTTTACCACCCCTAGTATGTGATTCCTGTCTAGTGGGTTATGAAGCAGGATTTAGGACATGGCCATAATACAATTGAATCGATTTCATTTTGTGTGCTAGTACAATGCATGGTGTAATTTTCGTGACACCATTGTGACCTGATCTACTAGAATGGTAAAAACTTTCCAACCTAGTGGAGGAGTGTTGGAAAATCATGTGAGGTTGGAAGTTTCTTTCATCCCACATTGGTATGGAAGTGGAAATTTGAGGAGTTTATATGTTCGAGCCTCATTCCTTTATTGTTTTCAAATAAAAGAATGATGGGGGTTCCATATAGGGATGACAACGGGTAGGGCATGGTTGTATGAGTGGGGTAAGGTTATGCCGTTATCAATCCATTTAAAGTAGCAGGTAACAAAATGGTAGTTATCCACTTCATAAACCTATTATTCATGTCCTACCTTACCTACTAAAATAGCGGATTTGAACGAAACGGGTAATGGATAAATGGTAAACCCAAATTCCATTTTGAACTATATATTGTTAAACCTCAAACATATGTGCCAAACATAAACTCATAAATATAGTAACTATTTTATATCTAATTTGTTATAGTAAACATTTTAATATTACTCTAAATATAATCATAGTATAATGTTTTTAAAATAATATAAAAATTGTAAAACAACACTTTTTGTTGCATTTATTTTCCGACCTCCTCTTCCTTCTCATTTAATTATCATAAACTCTTTTATTCGATAAATATATAAAACAATTTAAATTACACATTGATATACACATATATAATTGTATTACAACAAATATTAATATTAAGTGTATATATATGTGTATATATCAATATTTAACTTTACACACACACACACACACACACACACACACACACACATATATATATATATATATAGGGTTGGGTTCACGTGAGACCAAGRGTTTTTCGTGAGACCCGTAAGACCAATTTAWRTTCATTGATCAAMTTTATAAACTAATGATCTAATGGTCTAAAKTTGCAATGTGGCAATTTTGTAATTATTGAAAAGTCTCGTGGCGTTTATAAGTGTTCAGATCTGACGATTGTAAATATAATCCAAGGGTTGAGAATTGGTCTTACGGGTCTCACGAAAAACCATTGGTCTCACATGATCCCAAGTCTATATATATATATATATATATATATATATATATATATAGAGGGGTGAGTTCATTTGTTAACAATATATGGTGTTAACTTTACAAACCATCATTCACCAATCAGAATCAAGATATACTTTTGGTTGATTCACATGAGGTTGGTATTTAATAGGGGTAAAAATGTAATTATCTATTTTGGTCTATCTTTTAATGCATAATATTAATTGTCAGTTACAATTCTTAATTACTCCATGATTGTAGCAGTTTGTTATTATTAGGTGATAGATGAACATCCACCAGAGCAAATTAAGAATTTGGGTTGGTTTTCTAGACCATCAATTGAATGCACACATGAATGAACCTTTGATGAACATACAATGCACACATGAATGAACAATTTCTATTTTGTTCATAAGCAAATAACACGGTGGCCACTTATCAAAGGTTCATTGTGAATTGATTGATCAATGTTTATAAGTGAATTAGTGAACAATGTTCATAAGTGATCACCAGTCACACATACATATACATTCAGGTATATGTTCACTAACGAACATGTTCATATATGTTATATTTTCATTAGTGAGCAATGTTCATATGCTACTCATATATGACAATTGCTCATTTGTTCACATCATTCATAAGTTACACATTACATATTAATAAATGAAGGAATAATTAAAGCTTGATGTCGGTTTCAAAACGATGGAGTAATTACCGAGAAAGTAATTAATGCTAACAAAATCTCCCTATTTTTTTTCTTTCAAAATTATCCTTTGTTCATGATTGTTCACTTATGTAAGCATCATTTTTTAATTTGTTACAAAAATGCCATGATAAATTTTATCCATAGATTACAAAGGTTAAAGGCTAGGATTGGTTCACAAAGTTAACACCATATATTGGGTTAACAAATGAACTCACCAATATATATATACACATACATACATATATTGTAACAGGTAATGGATAACGGTTATCCATTACCTACCCTACCCACTAAAATTTTAGGTAAACGGATAATGGATAAGTGAATAAATGAATAAGATTTACTTAACTCATACCGTTATTCAACGGGTCGAAACATAACGAGTAACGGGTTTACCCTTACTCATTGCCAGTCCTAATTCCATAGGGTGCAAAGCACCTTGCACGTGGATGCGAGTCGCTTAGTCCATGAGTGGCACATGTAGGCGTACTTTGCACTTGACATCAGAGCTGAGGAGCCAAGCTCCGAGCATACTTTTTATTGTGTCACGGGTTTGGACATAATTACAGCTTTGTAACTAACGTGGGTTACATCAGTTACATGATTTAAGACATCAATTATGTAAGTTAAGCCAGTTTCATTTGACAATGAAATGGTGATTAAATCTCCATGATACCTTTTTCTTCATTATAAATAGAGAAGAGTAGTCCTCATTTGAATGTACTCAAGAAATCTAAAAACTCCCTCTTGCTCTCTCTTCTACTCTGTTTTATTACTGTTCTTTGTAAAAAATATCAGTTTTCTGTCATCACCAAGGCATTTTGGTTCGACGTTGTCGTTGCATCATAAAACTCGTTCAACTGCATCAAATCCTGGGACGGTCACGCTTGAAGGCTCTCAGTAAAGCACGTGAAAACCTTTAAGGCTAGGAAGTACTTCTGTATAGTTTTCTATCATGTGATTATTACTGTTTCAAGGTAAGATTTATAATTGTGTTAAGAATTATTGTTAGTCCACAAAGTCAGTGGACACTCTATCTTCTACTTCGTAAATCGTCTTGATCGCAAAAGATGAAAACACATTTTCGACTTAACCGAATAAAATCATTTCATAGATAAAATTCTTATCTAAGTATTGTTTAATTTTCAACAGAATCATCTCCAACCGAATCGTATGACATAAAATTTCTATGATAAGAAATGGTAAATTATCAAGTTCAATGAGATGCTATTCACCAAATTGTCGTGATATTAGATGGTGTTATTTATCATATTTTTGATGTTTTTATTGTAAAAGTAATGGTTGGAGTTGGTTTAAGTACAAATTTGTCCCTGCTATATTTCAAAATTCCAGTCCTACCCCTCCTTGACTAGACCTCTAAGGTAGTCTTGTCGACTGCCTTTCAACATCGACACCTTGTTCGGAAAGACGCTACGTTTTATGGATTTTTGCAGTCTTCTGAGATATTTTATCGAACACTTGGCGTCCCAATTCCATTTTCCCTGTTATCAGCGCCTGCTTTGTTTCATTGACCACAACCTTCCCTTCTCCGGCAAACCCTAGTTAGTCCTCCTTTCTCACAATTCGTGTTTGAAACCCATAATAGGGTATTTCTAATGTGCTGTGCTTTCTTATGTAGATGCTGGCTTCAGGTTTTGTTTCATAAAGGAATCTGTAAAGTGGTCTTGAAGGCGGGCATGTCGTCTTGTGGGGTTTGGTGGGGGAGGAGAGTAGGGTTTGGTTTCTAAATCTGTTTATTTGACTCTTTAAAATTTGATTTTGTGAATTATTTAATAGAAATATTTAACAATTAGAAGTGCAAAATCGAGAATCACATGTATTGAGATGCATGATTCAGTCAATTTTTAAAGATAATTTGATGATGAGGGGTGCAGGCTTGTTTATGAACCATGTGTGTATTAAGATGGAGAAAATAGGGTGATCAATGTGAGGATGAGCACGTTTGGGTCCTGCAAACAGACGTAAACATCACTGTCAGCAGCAAGAGACCCCACCCTGCCAGAGTAAGACATGTTCAACTTGATCATTCATCCTTCATTGCAATTGGCATATGCTTAAGATGATTCCCGTTTCCCATTTTTCATCATCGAATATCCATAATCCATTTCTAATACTCTTCCCCTACGATTCTCCAGTCGACTAAGTTATTCTCTTTTTTTCCCCAAATTAAAAAATGCCCAACTTTTCTACTTGCTTACAAGTCACCACCATATATATCAATCATAATGCCAACAGCTTTTGTTCATACAAATCCCGATCTCTTCTCCCTTCTCTCCTCTGCATCTGCATCTGCGCTTCTTCATCTTCTTCTATTTGCTGCTACTATCAAGATTTTCTTGTTTTTGTGCTTTTAGAACAAACCAGATAATCCTTGCTACTCAACACTCCCATCTTTTTGGTCAAAACATACAAGTAGGGAGTCTTTTTGGGTTTCTGGAGCAAGCAAGAAATGACAATTGAGGAGTTGAGAGAAGATGAAGAAGAGGGTCCTCCTTCTCAGATTGAATCTGAGATTACCACGAAGCCTAGGCGTATCGCTCTCTTCGTTGAGCCTTCTCCCTTTGCGTGAGTCTTTCTTTTGATTTACAACTTTTGACTTCATCCATTTTGCTTTAACAATGATTAGCATACTTCGCTTCTGTTCTTGTTGGATAAGATTTGAATCTGTTCTTACAAATAGAGTACATAATGCACCTGTTTGTTGTTGATGTCTACCTCTTGCAATTTGTTTCGATTTTTCTTGTAACGGGATGCCCTTTTTTAGCTTGGTTAATAGATATTACGAAATTGTCGCAAGAAAAGATCTCTTATGTTGGGGACAAAGTCTACTACTTACAATAATGTCGTGTGATTTGATCATTGAGTTAGTGGACAATAAATTCTTGCCAAGAATTCCTTTTAATAAATATGTGATTTTGATGCTTTTCCTCACACAAATGGTGTGTTTTTTAGGTGGAAGGTAGTTTCAATTTGTGACTACAATTTTTTTTGCCATTCACTACTTCAAGTGGTTGGTTATCACCAAGAATCACACGTATGTTTTAATGGCATAAGATTGGCATTCGAATGTTATGCTATTTACATAATTCTCTTATCACCAAGTGAAGAATTGATTGCGTTCGATAGAACGAGACTCTGAACCATAACCAATAAATTTCTCTTTTTTCAACCGGCTCTTGTAATCCATTCATCCCATTTTCAGATGTTTGCTTTTTTGTAACGTAGGCATTATAAAAGGGATGTAACAGAAGTATATGTTACAGAGGTGGCCGCTGTACCTAAGTACCATATTATCCTTGCAAATGCAAAGAGCGTTTTAGTTTCTTATTTTCTTCCAAATCAAAGGAGCCCCTTTTGGTATTTTCAACATTTTAACCAATATTTGCATCATTTGACTTAAAAAACCACACTCAATAGTTTCCTGTTTCGGTTTATAATCATCCCTTTTAACCAAATTTCACACACATAATAGCACCTCTTTTTATATCCTTAAGGTCATGTAGCTACAAAGTGAATTGTTAGTGCCTACAAAGAACATATTAGTGCGCACTTGTGGTAATCTACAAATCAAAACGTTAATGATTTCTCTTAGTTTTTATGCTTTGAGCAAAAATCTTCTTGTTACATGATCATGATATGTTTCTTGGCTTAAGGTCGATTGGGCTTTTCGTTCACCAATTTTAATGATATGGATTTATTTCAAGGGTCTTCATGCATGTTATAGTTGAGTATTGCGCTTTAAGCCCATGTAACAGTGTTGAAGCTATTCTGTATTAGAAAAAACTTCTTTTCCTTTCATAATAATGCCAACCTCCTTTAAACCGAGGGCAAATGCATGTTATGTGTTGGACAATGTCTTTTAAGTATCGACATAGATTTCTTTGTCTATGATTTAGCAATAATCTCTTCTAAACTAAGAAGTTTCCCTACACAATTGCTATTTGTAATACATCATAGATACATGAAAATAATTCTTAATTGTTATCACCACTTAAAACCAAATTGATCAAGGTTCGTTTGCTGCTATTTGATCTCTGTTGCAGGTATGTGTCAGGATACAAGAACCGGTTCCAAAACTTCATTAAATATTTGCGTGAGATGGGGGATGAGGTATGTTTGTTATATACTATATATAAATTGATGTCTTTTAGTTGTTCTATTAATAGTACCTTATAGAATCTTTGTTGAGCTTCCGTGGCTTGGATCCGATCACTTTCCTTGGTAATCTATGTTTATGTGATTCACTGCGACCTCATTGGGTATTCATATTAAGTGGGATAAACAAGCCTTTATTCATGGATTTGTGTTACAAATGTAGCTAAATTATCTTTGTAGATGTTGACGTATATCTAAATGACTTGCATAAAATGGAGATGGATTTTGGAGTCAGAAATGTGAATACTTTCTTCGCTAAAAAGCATATGCAACCGATATACTTCGGTTACTGTTGTGTTGTAGGTGATGGTGATAACAACTCATGAAGGGGTACCTGAAGAATTTCATGGAGCAATATTGGTTGGCTCAAGAAGGTCCATTGCTTTCAGATTCTTTTCCATTGCTTAAACAATATTTAATCTTATGATGTTAAATGCGTAAATGGTTTCTTGGTTCTTCCTGCAGCTTCCCTTTCCCGTGGTATCAGAAGGTGCCACTTTCCCTTGCCCTGAGCCCTAGAATAATCAATGAGGTTAAACAATTCAAGCCAGACATCATCCATGCATCCTCGCCTGGTATTATGGTACACTCTCTCTCTCTCTCTCTCTCTCTATATATATATATATATATATGTGTGTGTGTGTGTGTGTATAGGGGCAGATTCAAACGAGAACGCTAACTATTTAAGAAACAGGTTCAAAAGTCATGCGCTTCCATTTTTTTGACGTTAATGTAAAATCACATGTCATTTTGTACATTAACGACCTTTTTCTTGTTTTTTTAAATAGTTACCGCTCTCGTTTGAACCTTCCTCTATGTATGTATGTATCTATATATACACACATACACATGTTTTTCTTTGAATATGTAGCTGGTTTCGCTTGACTAACCTTTTTACCATCAATTATTAGGTTTTTGGAGCGCTTGCGATTGCAAAAATGTTGTCTGTTCCCATAGTGATGTCCTACCATACACATGTGCCCGTGTAAGTGAAATATTTGAGCCCATTAATATATTTGTTCATGAATAGCGCTAGATCCTATTGTCATATCTATAATATTTGAGATTGAAAGAGAAGGGAATTTGATTATATTAACATATCTAATTTGTGGAAGACGTGGCTATGAATGTTGTTAGTAGTAGGCTCTAATGGATCCATCAACTAAAAGGAAGAATATTTTTTGCCATACAAAAATTATTTTGGGGAAAGATTGAGGGATTGGCGTGGTAATTAGATCAAGTGGTTTGATAAAATAAAGACAAACTATGAGAAGTAAGATCGAAAAAATCTCATTGGAGTTAAAGATAAGTTCTATAAGACGGGTTGTTGGAAATCTTTTAATTTACGAGGTGATTAAGACATTTAGACCAAATAAAAATGCTACCGCCACTTGAATCCTAATCAGCTAGGATGCAAAGGGGTCTTTTAGTGACACACTTCTCAAGTTTGGTGAAGTTTGAACCCTTGACTTCTAGGAAGGTCAGGTTAACGGATACCGCTAGTCTAATGGCCCTTTGGTAGACCATGTGGATTGGTGGCGTCCTTAGGTCACCAATACCACTTTCAAGATGTGGGGTTGCAGGGGGGGGGGGTATTTTTGCATCTACTTTCAATCTATTAGAGCAAGAGGCAAAAGTATTTGACTCAAGTTGAAGAATGCCCTTACTAACTATAACTAGCTCATGAGGATGTTTGGGCCTTTGGGGAGGGTCCTTCTGGAAACATGCATACGAGATGAGTATAATTTGTGTTTGCTGTCACACATGTACGTACACACACTTTCATGTGCATACACATATTTGGTGCTTCAATAAAATATGGGGTACTTTTAATGCAGATACATTCCAAGATACACCTATAGCTGGCTCGTCCAGCCAATGTGGTTGGTTATAAGTATGTGATGGTTCTTCCTTTCAGCTCGTCTTAATATGTTTAGGAATGCTGAGGTTAGAAATGACGGTATATTTGTTGTTTGGTCAGAGTTTCTTCATAGAGCCGCTGATCTTACATTGGTGCCATCAGCTGCTATTGCGGAGGATCTCAGAGGTGCCAAAGTTGCAGCAGGTAACCATATTTTTTGCTGTGAAATTACGTAAAAGCAGGGTACAAAATGAGATTGTTCCTATTATAAAGGTGAATCTGTCCTGCGGCTTGAGCATATTAGGGGTTATTTAGGAGAATAACCTGCTGATGGGGTTTTTTTAAATGCATGACCTTCTGCCTTATTTAATAACGCCTTCCTAACACAAGAATGCTTCAAAATCTGTGAGAAGGTTATGTAAAAAATATGTCAGAAGGTTGTTCTCTTAAATAGCCCATATGAGTCATAACATATTCTGGCAAAATAGTTATCACTACGAGTGAAATACAATGTCATTTGCTTTGCTTTTCTCAGCTAACAAGATCCGTCTATGGAATAAGGGTGTCGATTCAGATAGTTTCCATCCAAAATTTAATTCTCAAGAAATGCGAATTAGACTAAGGTATGCTTCTTCTTTTTACTAAGTTGTATGTGGTTTCCAATTAAAACCAACAATTATTCTTGCAAAAATGCAAAAACAAACACATGCAAACCTTAAAAATGAGCGAGTTTGGATAAATTGTGAATGTAATTACAAAAACAATCATCATACTTGTCACATTTTCTACAAAACTGCTCATGTTTGCAAACTATATTGTTCTATATTATTAAATTTTGCAAGAGCGGTGGTTCATTTGAAACAAAAAGATAAGTACGATGGTTGGAGAAGATGTTCACAACAATGTGCATATAATGTTCATCTCCTTTTTGATTTCATTGCATCTATTTGTATTATAAACAGCAATGGTGAACCTGATCGGCCTCTGATCGTACATGTTGGCCGTATTGGAGTCGAGAAAAGTTTAGATTTTCTTAAAAGGTAAAATCTACTTGATTTATTCCTGCATCTGATGAAAATTGCAATACTTTTAGTTAGCACAGACTTTTAGGAGATTTGTTTGACTTATATATCATAAAGTTTCCACCGCCTGTCCAAAGTTGAGCCCTGGGATTTGACGGCGGACTTAAAAAGCCATCTACAGACGCTTAAAAAACCCTTGCAAGAAATCTAGGAAGCAAGGATGCATATGTAATCCCCTTATTAGATGCTTTGTGGATGCAGTTATTTAGGGGTATGGCAAGGTAACCATGTCCTCGATTTATTGACCACAAATTGATGAAAATGATACAAGGCTTTCCACATACATTTCCATGTCAACCATGTATAACCAACTTTGAGTTCAAGAATTTTTTATCACTCCTTCCACTGGAGTATAAACTTTAGAATACATATCACATATAGTCTTGAACACGAGATCACCATTGATGGTCATTTACAAAATTCTGACTACTCTTCCTTCATTTGGAACACAATCCAATTTCAAAACCAGATACCTAGATGTAACATTACTGTATTCTTTCCTCACCCAAATCCAAAACCACTGAAACGTCTGGATATTTCCTCGTTTCATCTACTAGCTGATAGCTGTAATTGACTATTATGACCTTTACTAGAAATCACAATTGGAGAATCTATGATGATTATCAGTGGTCTGGTTTCCAATTGGGTTATGGCAACCAAATCCTGCCAAAATCGTATTGCTCAAATCTAATATCATAATATAACAATACCGTATGTCGTGATATGATTTGAAATAAGCTGCTGTTATATTATATTATTATGACATATTATCCTTATATCAGATCATGACATACGCTATTGTTATATTATGACATTCAATTTGGGCGGTGTGAGGTTTTTGGCAGAATTTCATTGCTAGAACGCAATAAGGATGCCTGGCAAGTGACAATCATCAAATGTCTCTAGGTGTGATTTCTAATGAAGGAAAGAGTACCATAATGTTGCATCTTGGTATCTGGTTTTGAATTTGGATTGTGTTCCTTATGAAGAAATAGTAGACAGTTTTGCAAATGACCATCAATGGTGATCTCATGTTCAACATTATATGTGATGCATACTCCAAAGTTCATAATCCAGCGAAAGTGGTGCGATCAAGTCTTTTTGAACTCAAAGTCACATAGCTGACGTGGAAACCCTTATATTGTTAAACATAGGAGCTGCCGAGGAAATAATGCCTAATGTTTTCCTACATTTGGTATGAATATATGTTTCTGTTCAACTACGGAAACACACATCCCTTCATGTAATCAACTCCCTAATCCTTCTTCTGCCTCACTCTCAACCTCTCTAACTCCGTTCTTCCCGTCCCCACTTGCTACTTGGTCCTTACACCTATGTCTACCCTAGTCTTGTGCTCAAGGAACTTGAGTTTATAACTGTGAAAGAGAAAAACAAATAGAGACACTAAAATCATTATAAATTATATATATATATATATATATTGCATGTTTTATGTATAAGTAACAAAATAACATCTTTTATTTCATTTTGGTTGATAGATTTATATATGTACACACATAAATAAACTCGTTTTTTACAATTTTTGAATCTCGGAATCCGCATGTCATGCATCCATATTCTTGCACATAAGAAATCTTGTATAGAAATTAATTGTAATAATGATAACTGGCAAATAGGTAGTTTAACAATGAAAACTTTTAAATAAATAAATGTTAAGTGCTCATTGATTTATGATTTGGGCAGTGTCATGGAAAGGATCCCAGAAGCAAGGATAGCATTCGTTGGAGATGGTCCATACAGGTATATCCACATGACGTATATAATTAACATGGGTGTTGATATTACATTTTTGAAACCAAACCAAACGTACCCACTATGTCCCGCTCAAAAGTGGAGTGTAGACCTTACCTCTACCCTAGCCCAAGGGGTAGATAGACTGATTCCATGAAGTTTCCCTCCTGCGAAAAATATCTGGTTTTCTCATGGTTATATATCTGAAAAGAAACTAGAATAAGAAATTAAAAAAATACGACAAAATGCAACAAAATTTTGCTTTGGTTCCTATTTATGCAACAAATAATTTCTTTTCTCGATCAATGTAACAAAGTTGCAAAATTTCCTATTTTGTAATCATTTTGACCGATAACCTACCAATCTTGTAATATTTTGTAACATCATAGCCACCTTCGCCATAACCCTTTTGTAAATGGGTATCCACGCCATCAAATGCTACAAGATTAGTAACCAGTCAAAATGAGTACACAACAGGAAATTTTGGAACTTCGTAAAAGTTATTGGTTACATAGGCCGTTTACCAAATGCTTACCTGCAAGAGTCACCACCCTCACTTACCTTATCGAGTAACATTCTCGGCAATCAAAATGAATTGTTGGTAAGCGTCTTTTACCCATTAAGCGCTGACCCTCGGTCCTTGCCATGCTCATCCGGTAAGGTAAATGACACTCGGTAAACATTTGGTAAACGACCCCTAAATAGGAGCTAAACCAAACTTTGATGCATTTTGCCCACAAAATTACTAGAGATCCTGATTATAAAGTTCTATGTTTGGCAGGGAGGATCTTGAAAAACTATTTGAAGGCATGCCAGCAGTTTTCACAGGGATGTTACAGGGCGAGGAGTTATCTCAAGCATTTGCCAGTGGAGATATATTTCTAATGCCTTCAGAATCTGAAACACTTGGGCAAGTAGTCCTCGAAGCCATGTCATCAGGTATCCCCGTGGTGGCTGCACGTGCTGGTGGTATACCAGATATTATCCCTCCAGACCAAGACGGAAAAAGTGGGTACCTCTTCACACCTGGAGATCTTGAGGACTGCTTAAAAAAACTGGTCCCATTATTACAAGACACGGAGTTACGTGAAAAAATCGGGCAGGCTGCCCGAGGGGAGATGGAGAAGTACGATTGGAAGGCAGCCACAGGGGTCATTAGAAACCAACAGTATAACGCTGCAATATGGTTTTGGAGAAAGAAACGAGAAGAACTACTGAAACCTTTGCGTTGGCTGGCAAACTGTTTTCTTCCTACAGACACGTGTCGGAAGATAACCGCACCGCCTAATCCTTAAGAAACGGCCCCGAGACCGTTTGCAACTTTGTACAATATGGACAGTGAAGATTTTCATGTTTGTTATTATTTTTTGTTAACCGTGGGTGTCTGGACAACATGTGCACATCTCGACTTATTCCATAAGGCTCTGAAAATCCAAGCCTAGAATATATTTGGAAGTTGAGTTTGGCCTAGCACTCATGGTGGTTGTTTGTTCAAGTGTAATTGCAATTGTGGTATATTCATTTGGTTGTAGGGAGGGGGTGATATAGTGGTAGACATTGTAACATTGTTCTTAGTATTTTTAAACACCATTATGTATTTATTGGATGTCATATTGTAATTTAATTTCTTTTAGCATGTAGTTTTATACAGTTAATTTTCAGTAAGAATAGTAGTTATCGTGAGAAGGGTGAAAAAAGATTTTTACCTTTGGATCAATCTTAATTGAACAATTAAAAATGCTCTTCTTAGCTGATTCATGGGTTATTTTGGGACTTAATTTGAACTATTAGATCAACGTTAATTCAAGTGATCAAATGTCCAAATTCTTTTTGCACTTCTCACCTTAACTTCCATTCTTATGAGAAATGTAAGAAAGGATATGAACTTTTGATCACTTTTAACATCACCTTCACTCCATGAATTGAAATGCCTTTGCCTTGATACAACTGCTTAAGCTTATTGTAAAGCTCTTTGGTTTTTGATATCCCGTGCATGTTTGCAAGAACACTCTTTGCTAGACATAAACGAATAGTACTTGTCGCTCTCAAATCCAAATCATCCCATTCTTCCTCGCTTTTCCTGGTCCTGCTTCAGTTGTCCCTGGAAGCAGGTTTTCCCTTTAATGCCTTATTAACTCAGATTGTATCAACACGTCCTTGACTTGAACTTCCAACAAATTTCTCTACATCGAACTTCATAGCACATGCAAACTTTGACATCGTATCCACACCTGAAAAACAATATTGTGTACTAGAAAAGTGCTTGCAGCATATGAATAGCACACTGAGGAAAAGTTCCATAATATTCACGTATTCCTGTCACACACAATTGTATTTTACATGAAGTAACCAAGAGATTTTAATAGGATTTGGAAGTTCAAGCAAAGTTGCAACCGCATATCTTATCAAGAACCCTCTAACGCGTGACCTCTTCTAATACGATCAAGAGATAGTTTTTTTTTTTTTTCCTCCTGAGTGGAGGACCAGACAATGCTACAACCATAGAGTATACGAAGAACCCTCTAACCGAACCCTCTAACCTGGAGCTATGATACCACTTGATGGGAAATTGCCTCAACGTTAAAGATGCGCTATGACTCATTCACTAAAGCGTTGTAATATCATGAGGTCGGATATTGTGCAACTACCATTGGCTTTTTATCACATCCAATCCATGATCATGTACATGTAAAATAAACTAGACCATCGCTTCATGTGAAGCAAACTATTAAAAGATAAAATGTAGCCTATCATTGTCATAAGACGGGTTTATATGTCATCGAAAATATCTAGTTATATTAATAGATTGTTTTATAGAACTTAAGTTGATGAAAACAAACAATTGTGCGTCATAGGTAAAAGCGTAGCAATAAGTTTATAGAATTCTTTTCGGCGTTTTAACAAGTTTTGAGGATTCTTTTAAAATAAAACGTCGTATTAGTTTTTTTACATGATACTTTTAAGAAATGTCTTATAAGTACAATTTTTTTGTAGGACATTTGTTTTTATAGAACAAATTTTCAAATATCGTCATATAAAAGAATTAATTAGATGCTTTATTAAAAAATGTCTTAAAAGTTGTTAAGACACCAAAAAATATCTTAATAAAGTTATTGCAACGTTTTTACTTCTTACACACAATTGTTTGGATTACCGACGGATTTTTGGCAGATATCATGACCAGAGAAAAAACTTGCAGGAAAACTTGGTCACAAACGGATTGATTGTCACCGACGGATATTGGCCGCCACAAATCCATCGTAACAATTTTGTAAATTTTTAAATTTGGTCGGTTAATTAATTAGGTTAATTATGTGATTAAATCACGGACGGATTAGTGATGAATAATCAGTGGATGATATAATTAATTATTTTTATTAAATACTTAAACAATTAAAATAAAATCAGTGACAAGTTTTCACCTACTAATCCACCGATAAATGCAAAGTTCTAAAAGTAATCAATTTTTATTTTTTTTATTTTTAATTTTAATTTCCTGTAAAGAAAACAAATATTATTATGACGTAAACGACACAAACGTAAACCTAAATATCATTTATTAAAAAGAAATATGATTGTTCGGGCATAAATACGATTGTTATGTTCATAAACCATTAAATCAAAACTTTGGCGGCGATAACCCATGTTCCTGCCAACACTCGGGTGTCCATAGCATTGCCGCATGACCGGTCAAGACCTAGTTAGGATCCATATTGTACCCAAATTAAGTCGAACAGACGGTATTTCTTGCTCCCATTGACCGCCTGATTGTCATAGATATGTAACAACGATTCGATGGGCATTGGGATCCTTGCCATACATCTGGCTGAGATTCGTCTAATAGTCACCATGTCGTTTAAAAAATACTACATGCGGATTTCGATAGTATACCGTTTATAAATACGGCGTTTCCAACTTAAACAATCCTAACATTTGTTTAACAAATGATAACCCGAACTAGATAATCACCCGATGGTTTATTGAACTAATTTTTTTATTTTTAAAATTAAAAACTTTAATTTAATTAATTAATTAATTAATATTACTGAATGATTGGAATTAATTAAATTATTAATTTCAATCCGCCACTAATCCACCACTAATATTAATTAATTTAAATTTTATTTTATTAATTAAATAAATTCGTAGCTGAATATTTAATTAAAAATATTTAGAATATAATTAAAGTAACAAATTTGCCGGAAAGTAAATAGAAACTATTTCTTTACTTTTTTTAATTCAGGGGCGGATTCACGACGGATTAGTCAATGACGGTTGATTTCTCGTTGTTGGTCCGCCTTAATTCTACAATAAATCAACTACTGATTTCCGACAAAAAAATCCGTCGGTGAAAGTTTGTTTTTTTAAGCGAGTTGTTTTAAAAGTTATTAGACAACATGTTGGAGTAAGCTTGAGGTGTTGCATAAAATCCTTTCGATCTTTGTTTAATCTCATGAACAATCGTAAATATCATGAGGTCGTGATATTAATGTCTTAAATTAAACTTAGGGGCCGTTTATCAAACGCTTATTCGGATAAGTGAAACACCAAGTCACATTACCTTAACGGATGAATATGGTAAGGACCAAGAATCTTACCCGGTAAGAGCGAGACAAAGACCAAGAGTCTTACCCGGTAAGTGAAGACGACGACTCTTACCACGGTAATCACTTACCAGGTGAATTGTTGCATACTATATCGTTTTGTTGGATTAAAATTCAGGGCCGGTCCTAAGATTTTTGATGCCCTATGCGAAAATAATAAAAAATGCCCATAAGTCTATTTTTTTAAGTCAATGAAACAACGAAACATGCAATTTTTTAAAGAGTTTAGAACCTATTTAAGCTAAGTATCTCATCCTCATGTTGATTTTTATTAATTATAATAAAAAAATAAGGGGGACACAAAAACCAAAACCCTGAATAAAAAATATAATAGGATAAAATCTGGATTAAGATCATGCTTCATTCTTTTCCAGTTTTCCCTTTTCCAAATTAAAATTAGCAAAATAGAAACTTTATTTCAATATATGGGACTTAAAAGACAAGGAAAACTATAATTAGTTTTTAACTAAAATAGTAAATCACATCCAAATTACTGTCATAGTAAGCAAAAAGTAAAACTCAAAAGTTACAAGTCTAACGAATAAAGGCTAAGAGCTTATGTGTTAGCAGCTTAATAAGTTTAATGGAACTAACAACTTATTCACTCAACTATCCATGATTGTTTCGTAGTGGCTTAATGATATAGAAAGTGACTTATCCAGTAAGCTTCTAGGGGGAACTTTATATAGAAAGCCAAGTTTCTTTTCCAAACATGTTCTTTCCAACTAAAAAAACGCTCTTTACATCTGCGAAAAAACTCTCCCAAACAAAATTTTTTCCAACTTATACAAACAAATTAATTCATACAGACAACTTTATATAAACAAAAACTTTTTCAACTTTCCAACTTTTTCTTACGATGTGCATTCAATATTCATCACTACTAGGCCTTGGGTTTGTTTTTATAGTTAAATCTCAGTTGTCCAATTCCCAACTTATTAAACTCAAAACTAGTAATAAATGATAATTTGATGCCTCTTTAGACTTTGATGTCCTGTGCAAGTAAATAATAATGTTAAATTTTACAAGTAAACACTTACCGAATAAGTGTTTGGTAGACATCCCCTTACACAATCTAGTAAGAATGTGAATTCTCTTTTTAGTCATCATAGTCTGAATGCATTGTAAACAAATCCCACTAGAACACTAATACATTCTATAACTGTTTACAAAATATTTATGTATAAAATAAGGATTGATTTGTAGTTTTCTATAATTTTAATTGCAAGTGTATTAATAAAAAAATTTAAATACTTATCCGATAAGTGCTTATCAATAAAATTTAACACTATTATTTATACTTACTGGATAAGATTTTAGTCCACCAAACGACATCGCATGCAACAATTTATCCGGTAAGTGCTTACCGTGGTAAGAGTCGTCGTTATTACTTAACGAGTAAGACTCTTGGTCCCTTGTCTTGCTCTTACCGGGTAAGATTCGTGGTCCTTACCATATTTATCCGATGAGGTAACGTGACTTGGTAAACGCTTACCCGAGTAAACGTTTAATAAACGGTCCCCTTATAGATAAAAATATATCCCTCTAAATACAAAATACCCTCTTACATTGATATTCTTAAACACGGGTTTTATATAGGATTGGTCGGTATTCAGCAAGATTTAAAATATAATTTTTAATTTCTTTTTTATGTTTTTTAACTTATTTTCCCATTTGAAAATTGATTTGTTTTAAAATTGAAAAAGTAGACATGTGACTAAAAGTAAGAGTAGAAAGTAGCAATTGAGTCACGTGGAAAACATGAGTGGAAAGGCCCAAGATCACGATGGTCAAAGTTGACGTTAAAAGGAAACCGCGTTATTGATACATGAAAAAGTTGAGGATATATTTGAAAATGATATATAACTATTCCAAGTAAATATATTTGGAGAAGAATCACGTGATAAATACGGTTAAAATAAGAAATGTAAGAAGAAATCTAGATCCTTGATCAATTTTAGTTTAAGCTCATTGATGAATCGTACTTGATGATATGTAGATTGATCTGTTGCATCT